TGGTTGCCCATGGTGGACAGTGTTTGGTGGAGCTTCTCGATTAAAACAAGCCTGAAAGCAGGAGTGTCTACGACTCAACAGCACTTAACTACAATGATAACTATAACAATTGAACATCTATCTGTTAAAGAAGGAAATCTTGGAATCCTTTACAATAGCAAAATAAAAGGTTTATTGTAGGAGCAGATCAGGAGAGGACAGGTATTAAAAACTTGTCTTTAGTCACTGTGTTAGATAAATAGCATTGAGGATAACTGTCAATTAAAAGGGAATAAATACTGTTTATTTATTTCGTTACTCATTCATAAAACAGTTACTAAGCACTTATCATATGGTAAGCATTGTCGTAGAAATACAGATGTGATTAAGAAATGCTATTTATAAACTAGTTCAAGAGATGACTAGAGAATGACTAGTTTCAGCACTGTGAGATAAGTTCTCTAATATGTTATTAAACGTTAATCCACCCAGTCAATTCTGATTCATAGCCACCCTTCTATAGGTCAGAGAACTCCTCCATAGAATTTCCAAGGCTGCAGGCTGTACAGAAGACTTCGTGGTGTTCAAGCAGAGTTCTAATGCTTGGCTGTTAACCAAAATATCTGCAGTTAGGGTTCACCAACTGCTCTTGGGACAAAGATACAATAATATGTTTCCATGAAGATTACAGACTTAGAAATCCAATGGGGTTGTGATGAGTTGGAAGTGACTCAGTGGAAATGGATTAATTTTTTTTCTAGGAAGCACACTGTTAGACATTTCTCCCACTGCATGATAAGTGAGTTTGAACTGTCAGCCTTTGGTGAGAAGATAAGGCCTGAACCATTGTTTTAATCACCAGGGCATGTACTGTTGTGTGACTTATTAGAGATGCATTAACAATCTATGAAATGTAGATGGCACAGGCTTGCTTGCTGAAAGTGAGGAGGATTTGATGCATTTACTGAAGAAGATTAAAGACTACAGCCTGCAGTAAACTCTAGTACACGTACTGAGAAAGCAAAAACTTGCACAAGTGGATCAATGTGCAACATCATTATAGATAGAGAAAAGATTGAAACTGTCAAGGATTTTGTCTTAGCTGGACATCTAATCAACATCTATGGAAGCAGAAGTCAAGGATCAGAAAACGTACGGAGAAAATCCTCTGTCAAGAGCCATAGCCCAAGCTTTGATATTTTCAAGTGAAAATGGTATACATATGTAAGTTGGAAAATTAAGAAAAAAGACTGAAGAATTGATGCCTTTTAATTGTGTTTACAGAGTACTGATTATACCATGGACCGCAGAAATAACAAACAAATCTGTTAGATGTGAAGCCAGAGCGCTCCTTTTTAAAAAATTTTCATTTATCCATTGTTGCACATTTACCTTCCTACCTACCCCTCCCCTCAGTTTGCTTTTCCCTTTGAAAAGTAAAAAAAAAGAATTCTTCAGAATGGTCCTTAAAAAGCAAGGATGGTCTCACTCACTTTGGGCATTTTGTCAAGTTAGTCCTTAGAAGACATCAACAACTTTGGAAAGGCTTAGGATCGGCAAGGAAAAGAAAACCCTCAATAAAATGGATTGCCAGAGCAACTGAAGCAGTGAGTATGAGCACAGTAGAAATTGTTAGGGTGGGAAAGGATCAGGGAACATTGCCATCTGTTGTACTGTACACAGCATCACTATAAATTATAGACGGCTTGTTGATACGAAACAACAGGGGCAAGTAGCAAAAATTCAGGCAGAAAACTTCTTAATTAAAGAGTTTATAACTTTTATTACTAATTGTATACATTGTCTTCACTTCTTCCCAGTTTTCTGCTTTGCCCTGATGCTTGTTTGAATCTTTAAGTTGCTAAGACAAGGGTTGCATCAGTTCTGAACAGCATGTAAAGACAAAATGTGCAGAAGCAGGAGAAGGATAGCTCGTCTCTGTGCTTCTTTCTCAGGGCTTGGGAAGTTAGGAGGGCATGTGTGTACTGAGTTTTAAAATAGGCTTTAGAATTTATTTTGGATTCATTCAGTGGAAGAAGGAACAAAAAGAATAAATGTGGTTTAGTTACTGGGGACACTATCTCATAGCCAGTGCAGACAAACAAGTGTATTTACTGTTTTTCAAGCACAGAATGCAAAGATATCAAAATCCAGGGGGGAAAAATGCACTTTGAACAAGAACTCTGCATTGTCTATTACTGAAGCATCAATTCTGAACATGGGTCTTAGTTCCTGAAATTGCCTTTTAAGAAAAGGGGTTTTGTTTGTCTTTTTTCTAGTTATTTACATATTCTTTAATTTCTGCCAATACAGTTTTTTAAATTGTGACTTGAGTGACATTTCACAAAGCAAATTCAGTGTCAGACAATTCCTCCTGGTACAGTGACTCTGCATACTCCTTCCATCTTCCTTAATGCTTCTTGGATCATTTAACAATCTGCCCAAAGCATTCTTAAGAATTGCCACTCGTGGCTTGAATTTGTTCTTTAATTTCTTCAGCTTAAGAAATGCTGAGCGAGTTCGCCCCTTTTGATTTTCTGACTTCAGCTCTTTGCACATTTCATTCTAATACATTGTTTTGCCCTCAGGCCTGTTTTTAATTGTTTGTGGTCGAACATTCTTCTAGGTAATATAGCCCTGGTCTGTCCACTTGTTGTACAGAGGTAACTTGTGGTTGCTGTGATGGTAAACATTGTGACACTGATGTGTCAAATGTGATAATGGTTACCCATGGTGAACAGCGTTTGGTGAAGCTTCCCAATTAAAACAAGCTTGGAAGCAGGAGTGGCACCCACTTCTGAAATAGCTTGCCTCCGGAAACCCTATGAAACTGGAAAAAGGATGAGAGTTATACAAGTGTTCAGGTCTTTCGTTCGCTATGAGTCAGTCGCCTACGACTTGACGGCACTCAACATCTATAGACATTTTATTCAATAACCTGTGATCACACATTTCTCACTTCCTTTGTGTAATTATCATTTTCATTAAGCGATATATGCCTCTCTGTTTCTTCTCTTTATTTAATGATATTGTGCTCATTATCCTCTTATTGAATATTACCTTTACATTAATCTATCTTAATATGTACTTAGATAGTTTAATAACCCTATTCTACACATATACCCTTTAATATGGATTGAAGCTCAACATCAAGAAAACAAAGATTCTCAATACTGGGACAATCAGTAGCACCATGATAGATGATCAAGAGATTGTTAATAGCTTCAGTTTGTTTGGCTCCACAATTGGTACCAATAACCAGAAAATCAAAAGATGAATTACATTGCAAAAATCTCCTTTCAGAGACTACTCCAGATACTGAAGAACAATGCTATCATTCTGGAGACTAAGATTTGCCCAATCCAGACCATGGTCTTTGTAATTACTTGCTATGCATCAGAAATCTGGACAATGACTAAGGATGATAATAAGAGAATTAATGTCTTTGAGCTGTGGTGCTGGAGAAGAGTATAGAATAAAGCATGGAGAACAAACAGATTTGTCCCAGAGAAATTGAAACCAGGTTGCTCCTTGGAGCAAGGATTCCAAAGCTCCATCTGACATACTTTGGGCACATTGCAAGGAGGGACCAGTCCTTGGGAAGGGACATTATATTTAGAAGGACAGAGGACAAGAGAAGAAGACCCTAGATAAAATGGATTGATTCAGTGACCTGGGATAATGGGGCCAGGTATGTCAGAAACAGTGAGGTTGGCTCAAGATAGAGCAGGGCTCAGAGCAGTTGTACACAGAATCACTATGAGTCTCAAGTGACTTGATGGCACAGAGCAACAACAACAGTAACATAACATATACATACATACTCATGTTATAAAACTTCTTAATGTGTTTTATCAAAATAAAATCTTTATTTCAGTTAAGATATAACTTTGCCATACCAATCTCATTTGTTGTCTTTTCTAAAAAAATCCATTCTTTCTAGTAATTATTTCTCTGACTTGAAAGAACATTTGACTTGAGGCAGATAATAGAATGAATATTCTTCCTATTGTCACAAGACCCTAATTTCCTAGCCATTCCTAAAACAACTAGCATTCATAGCTGTAATGCATATGTACTCTGTAATGCCCACACCTTTAGAATCTTTCTTGGAAAATTTGTAGCTATAAAGTTCACTCTTACTGGGTTGTAGAGAATGAATTGTGGAATAATTTTATAGGAATGAAATTATTTCTTATGGTTTTTCCCCCTCTTTTATAATGTATACCACATTTTTTCTGAAAAGTTTCCCCAACTTCCACCATAATTTTACATGGTATGTTTTAATATCAAGATTTCATTATAAGTGTAAAAAATTCATTTTCCAATTATTAGATCCCACTTTTATGGCTTAAATCACTAACTACTACTTAATGAAAATTGTCATCTTTCTTTCTAGTCCTCAATTATCCTTGATTAACAACATAGATACTATTAATAATACCCTACTCTTCACTCTAAGGAACTGCAGGCATGTAAGATACATTAACTAATATCAGTTCATCACCCTGCAGGGAAGGGAAGGGAAAGGAAGACATTATTTTAATGAAGAGTATACGCTAGCTTTGAGACTAACCAAAATAGAAAATAGCTGAGCTGGAACAACCAAAGATGTGCTTGTCTTTGTCAGGAAAATACTTCAATTACGTGTTCATTAAACATTTGTTAGATGTTTTCTCAGAGTTGACTCAGCATCTGTACTTGAAAAGGGTGATCTTTATTAAAAATTGTTTCCATTACACAAGAAATATTTATCAAGTGACCCTTGGGTGCAAATCTAGTAGAAGCTATAATCAGTGACCCAAAGTCAACTTCATATGCTAATTTTCTATTTCTTAATGTGGAGGTAAATAAAATGACTCAGATGTTGGGACCTAGAATTTCCCCTCTTCCTCCTGCTTATTGGCCTTTTAGGAGAGTCACATGACAAAGATGTTCTTTAAATTAAGGTACTGGTGATGCAGCAATGCCTCCATTTCTTTGGCTTTCAGCTGTGAGTGCCTCCTGTCAAGCTTCCCATGATGGTTGAACCCTTCCTAGGTACATGGAAGCTGGTATCCAGCGAAAACTTTGAGGATTACATGAAAGAACTAGGTGAGAGATGCAATTAGAACACTGGCAAACGAACAAAGCATTTTGTGATATGTTTGGGCTTATTTGACTTGAAGTGTTCCTTAAATATTTTCTTTTACAATCATAAGGTGTATGTATTCATATAATAGTAACATAGATTTTATCTCTTTTTTATTATTCATAGTAATAATTTTATCTTTTCAAATACAAAGTTCATATACACCTCTCTTCTGTTATAATTCATATTTTCAAGCTTATTTATCCTTTATCTAATCCCCTTTGATGTAACATCATTATGACATTTTTTAGATTCAAATATATAGGTATTAATCACTACCAACATCTGTAATTGAATATTTCTATTACATTTGTTTCATGTCTCTAAGTTAATGTTTTATGTGTTTTGTTCTAAGTTAATGTCACAAAGAGTGCTAACAGCAAATGACATTTCTTGTTGACTAACTTTAGAATTCTGATGTATGTGGGAAAAATAAAACAAAATCTTAATAATTTTTAATTTTAATAGGAGTAACAGATTGTTCTCGGAGCTCCAGTTGCCTGGTGGTAAGAAGCTGTGCTGCAGTCCTAAAGGGACATGGTTCAAATCCACCAGCTGCTCCATGGGGGAAGGATGAGCAATTTAGTCTTAGTTTCAAATTCGCTGGAGTGTCAGCTATGAGTTGGTTCCAAGTCAACAGCACACAACAATAATAGATCACTCATACTCATTGAATAGTTTACCATTGATTTTTTTCATAAGTACTTATCTTTTATCTGTTATTCAAGTAGAATAATAACAATCAATTGTAATTATTTGAGTTTGTAGAAAACAAATATTTTTTTATTTTACTTATTATTAACAGAATGACATTTAATTTGTCCTTTAAACATGGAAGCAATTACTTGTACTAACAAGCTATAAACAACATCAAGTGTATGTTTTAACTTTTAAAACAGCACCTACTAATAGCCTGTTTGTCATTCTAAGCAACCACACAATGATGTCTCTTCTTCATCGTAAGAAGTTAATACACTTGTAAATGGGATTTGTGATTCTCTTTCAGAATTGATGTTCACATTCTTAAGGAATAATAGGAAATATTTTTCAGCATTTCTTTGTGGTTCGCCTCCTTTGCGTTTAATTGTGAGCTTATGCAAGATAATTGAGGCTTATCACAATAGCACGTATTTTGACTGAGTGCTGGAATTAGGCAAACAGGAATAACAGCCAGATTCCACTGAGTACCACCTGCCAATATCTTCTTACCTAATTTTACTTAATCTCTTGACATACCTATGAGGTTGTTTTTGCAATGTGCTGTCCAATTGGAACCAACTCTCAGCTGACTGTCTAGTGGGTTTTCAGCAGCAGTTAATTGTATGGGAGGAGATGGTCCATCTTTCTTCCTTGGAGAAACTGGTGGATTTGAACTGCTTGCCTTTGAGTTGCTGTGCAGCTCCATACTACTAAGCCTCCAGAGCTAAGCATCATAATAATCGACATTTTACTAAAAGAAAGCCGGAAAGTTGGAGAATGTAATCAGTGTGTCCATACTATCACTCACAACTAAAACAAAGTTAGAACCCTGCAGATTAATCACTATACTTTTTGGAGTGTTCTCTTCCTAACAGTGCTCCTCCACTATAAGAAACTACATAGCACGTCCTTCATCAAAAAGTTAAAAAAAAACCCCTGGAAATCAAAGATGATGGGGAGTCAATTCTTCTGCTCAGCCAAAATTCCATCCCACATGGAAGTTCCAAGCTTGAGTAGCAGTGCCAGACACAATGCCAACTTATTTAATTTGCCTGCCTCCTCTTTACTCTGTCAGATCTACATGTAATATGCAAATGACAGAGAAGATAAGTTATATTCTTGCAGAGTAGTTTGTGTCAATAGAAATCCACGTTTCTTTCTTTTAAAGAAAAAGAGAGAAAAAAGACAACAACTCTGGTAAAATAGAAAATATCCTGGTCTGGGGATTTAGAAAGTATGTGCTTAAATCTTAGCTCCAGTATTTATTAGATGAATAACCTGAAATATTTCACTATCTTCCTGGAATTCATGCACATATCTTTAAAATAAGAATGATGTCACTGCACTGTTTTCTTAGATCTCTGTAACTCAAAAGACACCATACACATAAATATAATTACTGTCATGTGTCAGAGGTCTTCTACGTGGATCATCTATATCCTTCCATGATACTTACTAAATCTCTGAAATGAGCAAATAATCTGGGAAACTGGACTGTATAAATATTGAAGGAAGAATCATCAACAATCTGCGTTACACAGATGACATACCTGACTTGCAGAAAACAAAGATTTGAAGCACTTACTAATGAAGATCAAAGACAACAGCCTTCAATGTGGATTACAAATTAATAAGAAGAAAACAAAAATCCTCACAACCAGAGCAGTATGCAAAAGCATGACAAATACAGGAAATTTTGAAATTGTAAAGGTTTCATTTTACTTAGATCTGAAATCAATGCCCACAAAAGCAGCAGTCAATAGTAATTCATATAGCATTGGACTGATATGCTGAAAAAGACTTCATAGTGTTACAAAAATGTCACTTGGAGGATTAAGTCGTGCCTGACCCACACAATGGTATATTTAGTCATCTTATATACATTTACAAGTTAACAAATGAATAAGAAATGCTGAAAGATAATTGATGTGCTTGAATTATGGTGCTGGAGAAGAACATTTTAATACACCATGGACTGCCATAAGAAAGAAAAAATCTATGTTGGAAGCAGTAAAGTCATAATGTTTTTCTAGAAACAAGGATAATGAGACTTCACTCATACTTTGGACCTGTAATCAGAAGGAGCTCGTCCCTGCAGAAGGGCATTGACCTTGGTAAAATTGGAGGACAGCGAAAAAAAGAAAGACTCTCAACAAGGATCATTGTCATAGGGTCAACAAGGAGCTCAAATATAGCAAAGATTGTGAGGATGGCACAGACCAGGTATTGTTCCATTCCATTGTGCATATCATTGTTATGAATCAGAACTGACTAAATGGAAACTAACAACATGATTGGGAGAATCTGATTTAATACAAAGACCATAAAAGGCCTACAAAACCACACAGTAAATTATCCATAAAAATTCAATAAAGTATGTATTCTTTAAAATTGTGTTTCAAATCAATAGTTAACTCTTCCTCCTCAATGTCTTAAGATTTGTCCTGTCATCTGCCTTATAGGAATGAGCTCTGAAGCTAGAAATGTGGCTGGATTAGTGAAGCCAAGTGTCACTATCAGTGTCAATGGGGATGTGGTGAGCATCAGAACAGACAGTCCTTTTAAGAACACTTCAATCTCCTTCAAGCTGGCAGAAGAGTTTGAGGAACTCACAGCAGACAACCGGAAAGTGAAGGTGAGACCTAAATCTTACTGATGTTCAGTAACCAAGTAAGCAGTATGAAGCAATTAGACATGGTTTATTCACACTGAGTATTATAATACTTTTGAGTTTTATAGGGGGTCTCTTGTGGCATAGTGATTGCACTGCAAACAGATGGCATCTGGTTTGAATCTACTAGCTGATCCCTAAAAGAAAGATGGGCGATTCGCTGAAAACCTCATGTATCATCAAGTAATTTTGAACTTACCTTGTTGATAAATGTCTGCATATTTCTAATACCAATATTTTTAGCTGATTAACAGACTACAACACTATAAATGTTTTCATTACTTTTTCTGATAGCTTGCTGTCATTATATGAGTCCTGGTGTCACAGTTCTTTGGGAATTGTGCTGTTAACACAAAGGTTCAGTAATCACACCATGGGAGAAAGACGGGCAATTTCTTCCCATAGGATTTCCAGCCTCTCAAAAGTCCACTGGAAGGTCAACTATGAGTTGGTTCCAGCTCAACAGCAATGAGTTTTTGCGTTTTGACTGATATAAGAATGATAAGAAACAAATACTTTGCATATTGCTTGAATAAAGAGAGGAAGTATTATCTGGGTAATAACATTTCTTCCAATTTGCTGGTATTCAATTATGACAAAACAAAGGGAAGAAGTTTAAAGAAAATAATTTCAAAGTGAAGATGCGGAATAGATGCCCACCCAGTCTTGTAAAGGTTTGAATATAGTGAATGGCAATTTTTCAGTGTAAGAGAAGACCTTCAACACGATGGATTGACTCAGTGACTGTAACAATGGGCTCAAGTGTATCAAAGATAATGAGGATGACACATTGATCGGGTGGGTTCAGATCCATCGTTGACTGGGTTTCTAGAAATCATAGTCAACTTGACAGCACATAATAACAACAATTTCTAATTGACTCTTTTATGCTTTTATAGAGCACCATAACATTAGACAGTGGCTCAATGATTCAGGTCCAAAAGTGGCCCGGCAAGGAGACTACAATCAAAAGACAAATTGTAGATGGAAAAATGGTAGTGGTGCGTATTCTCTAGATTAAAATTTTCAATGCTGCTTCTTTTGTTTTTTTTATAAAATTTTTAGTTTATAATTGTTTACAAAGTTCATAAATGTTGTTTTCACACTGGATCTTTCCTCTTTTCTTTATACAATCCTCCTTCTACCCATCAAATTGTGCAGATCTATGATTACTCTCCTGCCCATCTTCACCTCTTTGCTCCTACCTTCCTCCTCTTGGATCTTCATACACATTTTACTAGTTATCTTTCTACTTCTATAATAATGGTCTTATAGTGTATTTGTCCTTATGAGAATCAGTTAGTTCGCTTACCATTATGCTCTCCTGTCCCTCCCATGTTAGGTAGTGATTTACAAAATCATTGCTCCTACATGCTATATAGTATTTCATCATATGAATGTACCACAATTTCTCAGTCTATTCCATTGTGGTTGGACATTTGAGCTGTTACTGTGTTCTTGCGATAGTGACTTACACTGCTATGAACATCGGTATACAGATCTCTCTTTGTGTCTCAGTTCTAATTTACTCAGGTTATACGAAATGTCTATGTTCAGGTTTTGGAGGACACACCAAATTGCCTTCCAAAATGGTTGTGCCGTTTTACAATTCCACCAACAGGTTATAAGAGTTTCTATCTTTCCACATCTGTTCTGTTAAACTTTGCCTCTGCTATTGGGGTAAGATGATCTCTTATTGTGATTTGTCAATACTTCTTTTTGATGCATTTCTTTCATGTGACTCAATTATTTCTCTGTAACTTAAAGAGAATTTGTTCTGGAAAGGGAGAAGGAGGACAAGTTCAATCTGCCATGTATCAATTCTAATAGAATGCTCTTTGCTTTTAGGAATGCACCATGAATAATGTTGTCAGCACTAGAGTCTATGAAAAGGTGTGAAGAAAATGTCTGCTTCAGTAATAACATGTTCTCTAACAGGAAACTGGTACTTACAGAAGATATGCCTCAGGGCCAGTGAGTTTTTAAAAATGTTTAAAATAAATTTGCCCAATAAAACATCAAATTAAGTGCAATTTTGCAGCTGTGTAATACTAAGTGTAATACTAAGGCTCAATCTGATGAATTGGTGGGGCAAGATGCTACTTGCCCATGGTGTGATTCTAAGAGCACTGAAATTTCCTCTGCCCATTTGACGTACAAAATAATTGAGGTTGCTTAAAGAACTATTCCATTTAGGTTAAGGTATTCTTTCAGAAAATCTTCTGTTGAAGACTTCTGTCCAAGGAGAATTACACTACTGGCCAAAAGGACATGCCTTTCTGGTAGTTTGTATCCATTAGTTACTCTGTGTGATAAAGATTGGAAATATCTTCCCAGGTGATTTAACAGTTCCATAAACGCATTGGAGGATCAGCTACAAGTTGATTTTGACTTGACAGCAATGACCAATTGACTGAGAAGGAAGATAGAATTCCTGCATGGGATGAATGGTTAAAGGTCATGGCATCTAACCAAAGGTTGAAAGTTTTCATATCTAGCAGTGACCTTGGAAAAAAGGTGTGGCCATTCAAAAACATCATCTGTTGAAGATCCTGTGCAAAAGTTGTATTTTGACACACAAGATCATCATGAGTCAGATTTGACTCAATAGTAACTGGTTTGGTAAGGGATAAATTATAGTCATTGAAAATTACTAGGTAGTATAAAGATTGAAAATTGATATTGCTGATTTTTATTTTTGCAGAAAGCTGGTCCTACCACAAACTGATGGATAGTTGTTGTTGTTGTTATGTGACATCAAATCACCTTCAACTCATAAAGACCCTATATACAATAGCCTCAGCCAGTCCTCACACTTCCTCAGCCAGTCACACACTTCCCCCCTCCCCCATTGCCCTAGGTATGTATCATTCTATCTCATCCAAGGTCTTCCTCTCCCATGTTGTCCCTCCACTCTTCCAAGCATGACATCCTTCTCCAAGGATAGATTCCTCCTGGCCACATGTCCAAAGTATGTGAGCTGGAGCTTCAAAATCCTAGTCTCCAAGGAGAAATTTGGTTTCACCCTTTCAGAGACAGACCTATTTGTTTTCTTGGCCATCCAGGATATGTTCAAGACTCTTCTTCAGCACCACAACTCAAAGGCATCAATTAGATAATATATATTGTTTTCTAGAAGTTGTTGTTGTTGTTGTTGTTATGTGCCATCGAGTTGCCTGCAACTCATAATGACCCTTTGTATGACAACCCTAAATCCTGCTCTACCTGTGCCAATATCACTGTCTCCAACACATCTACTTCCATTACCCTAGTCACCAAATCAAGCCACTTCGTAGAGGGTCTTCCTCTCCTGTGCTGTCCCTCCATCCTCCCAAGGATGACATCCCTCTCTGAGGATTGGTCCCTCCTTGAAACATGTCCAAAGTATGTCAGATGAAGCTTCAGAATCCTTGCCTCCAAGGAGCAGCCTGGTTTAACTCTCTCTAGTGTTAGTTTCCTTAGCAGTCCCTGGTATATTCTATACTCTTCTCCAACACCACAGCTCAAAGGCATCAATTCTCTTTCTATCCTTCCTAGTCATTGTCCAGCTCTCTGATGCATAGCAAGTGATTGCAAAGACCATGGACTATATCAGGTGCACTTTAGTCTCCAAAGTCACATCATTGCTATTCCATACTTTAGAGAGATCTCTAACAGCAGATTTTCCCAATATGCAAAATAATAATTTTCTCACCTGTTAATCCATTTAAAATGAGACCAGTGCATCTGTCACTACAATTTAGACTTTGTAGGATGACATTTTATTAAATGCCAGTCCTGAAATGTTAAATCTTTAATAATGGGAGCTAAATGCGGCACCTTTCTGCTCATTCACATCCTCCAGGGGCTCCATATGAGAAAACTAGGGAATCTTCCATGTGATTTACAGCTTTGAAAACCCAATGGAGGATCAGCTATGAGTCAGTTCTGACTTGGTGATAATGAATGTATGAATGAGTGAATGCAATATAGTTGTTAGAACTATACTAAGTCCCTAATAATCTCATCAACTATAATCCCTAGGAATGGGCATTCTCAGGAATGGCAATTTTGGTAGAAAGAGAAGGAAAAGAAGAAAGAGGAGAAATGGTGTAAAAATCATGTTGTATTTTAAATTAAAAAAATATATATTAATTGGTCAAATATGCATCAAGATTGTTGAGGAATTGGGTGCCACTTCTGCTTCCAGACCTGTCATAGTATGTAACTTATTGGTTGAGTCGCCTGCGATGCATAGCAACCCTTTGTACAACAGCTCTGAACCCTTCCCTATCCTGAGCCAGTCTCACTAACTCTGACTCACCAACCTGCACCACCCCAGCCATGGTATCAAACCATCTCATCCAGAGTCTCCCTCACTTGCAAGGTCCATCCACCCTTCCGAGCACAATTACCTACTCCAAGGACCGGTCTCTCTTGGCCATGTGCCCAAAGTGAGTGAGGCAGAGCTTCAAAATCCTGACCTCTAAGGAAAGACTTGGTTTCACCCTCTCCAAGACAGTCTTGTTTCTTTTCTTGGAAGTCATGGTATGTTCAATACTCTTCCCCAGCACCACAACTCGAAGGCATCTATTCTACTTCTGTTATTCTTAGTCATTTTCCAAGAAGCATAAGAGGTAATTGAGAAAACTATGGCCTGGATTAGGCGCACTTTTGTATCTAGACTGATATCGTTGCCCTTCAGCACTCTGGAGAGGTCCATGACAGCAGATTTTCCCAGTGAAATTTGTCTTTTGATTTCCTGACTGCTGGTATTAAGAGTATTGATTGTGGAACCAAGCAAGCTGTAACTGCTAACAACCTCAATCTCCTCTCTCCATCTATTATGGTGCTGCCAGCTGGCCCAGTGGTGAGAATCTTTGTCTTCTTGATGTTGAACTTTAATCTATATTGAAGACTACATGCAATGCAGTCCTTGACCTTTTGCATTAAGTGCTTCAAGTCTTCTTCAGTTTCAGCAAGCAAGGTTGTTAATTGTAGGTTGCTAATGAGTCTTCCTCCAATCTTAATGCCACACACACTCCTCCTCATAAAGCTCTGTTTCCTGAATGATCTGTTCTGCACACAGACTAAAAAGGTATGGGGACAGGATTCATGCCTGACGCACTCCTTTCTTGATTTTTGAACCATGCAGTTTCCTTGCTCTGTTCTGAGGACTGCTTTTTGGAACAAGTATAGGTTTCATATAAGCATGATAAAGAATTTTGAGATTTCCCATTTTCCTCAAGGTTAGCCACAATTTATTGTGATACACACAGTCAAATGTCTTTGCATAGTTGATGAAACCCAGATAGATATTCTTCTGGTACTCTCTGCTTTCTGCCAAGATCCATCTGGCGTTGGTAATAATGTCCCTAGCGCCACGACCTCTTCTAAACTCAGCCTATATTTCAGTAGTTCTCTGTTAATGTATTGTTCAAGTTTTTTTTGTAGGTAATCTTCAGCAGGATTTTGCTAGTATGTGTTGTTAGAGATATGTTTCGATAATTTCCACACTCTGTTGGGTCACCTTTTTAAAAATGGGAATAAATATGGATCTCTTCAAGTCAGTTGGCCAAGTAATTGTCCTCCAGATTTCTTAGCACAACTCGGTGAGCACACGCAGAACAGCATCTGTTTGCTGAAATATGTCAATTGGTATGCCATCAAGTCCTGGGGCTTTATTTTTTTGCCAAGTCCTTCAGAGCAGCCTGCACTTCTTCCTTCATCGCTATTGTCTCTGGCTCATCTGTTGTTTCTTGAAGTTCTTCTGTGTCAGTTAATTCTTTTTTGTTACAATGACTGTATACTCCTTCCATCTTCTTTTAATGCTTCTTGAATCATTCAATATTCTGCCCATAGCATCCATAAGCATTGCAACTCATGACTTGAATTTATTTTTTAGTTCTTTAAGCTTAAAAATGCTGAGTGACTTCGGCCCTTTTGATTTTCTGACTCTAGCCCCTTGCACATTTCACTGTAATAATTTGCCATAAAATTCCCATGATTTATGATCCACTGAGCAGCATTTTGATTCTAAGCTGTTTTGTTTTCATTTCACATTAATAAATATCCTTTCAATTTTTGTTGTTTTGTGTCGAGTCACTTGCAACTCATAGCGACCCTGTGTACAAGAGCCCTAAGCCCTGCTCTATCCTGTGGCAACCTCACTGTCTCTGACACACCTACTCTCATTGTCCTAATCACTGAACTGATTCATCTCATTGAGGGTCTTCCTCTCTTGTGCTGTCCCTCCACCAATACGTAGAGTAAGAAACAGTTTCCCAAAGATGATCTTTTTTTATCTTCAACCAACACATAGCATGCAATTGGTTAAACTGCAATCTAAGTATCACAAAACCACTAGTAACCGATGAAACTTAGACTAGAATTTATTCCAAGTTCACCATTGTCTTCTATCTTTTTACAATAAGAAATAACATCAGGATCTGTGTGCCAATATTCAAATGTCACTTAACCACAGAGCTGGCTAAGTGGCTACTAGAAATTTAATTGTTAATAGGAAAGTGCAAACCAGGGGCTGCACTGCTCAGACCCTTCATAGGACATCTCCATAGGACATTATGACGTATTATTGCATTGGAATCCATGAGTGGAAGTGATGCATGCCATTTCTGCATTAAGATTAAGAGGAAAGTACTTACCTCTTCAGCCCCTCATTCCTGCTTGACTGCTCAAGGGAAAGGGCTCTGAAACCTTAGAGACGGTAGAGTTACAAAATGAATACATCTGAGACCACTGAGTTACCTACCTCATGGAGAAAAGCTGCCTTCCTTGCACACCAGAAGTACCTGGACTAATGAGAAGTAAGCTGGCATTTTGGCTGTTTTGAGCCATAGATAATATTGCCATAACTATATCAGTGTGAAATTTGCAATTTCATTCTTAGAGTATATCCT